TATAGTTCTCGAAATAAACTTTGAGTTGACATAAGCAATTTGTAGATTCGATTAACGTGCGATCGTCGGAGAATTTTTAAAATTAGCATGTTATCGAAATTCAAATTTATTGTGACTTTGCCCCTATTTGATGGAGATTAAAATCAAATTTTTATTAAATTTTAATAAAAGTTAAACAGTTATGGATTCTATGAAATATGTTATTAAAATTAATTGTTAACTTTGATTTATATTAAAATTTAGATTTCAACCGATACCAAACGCGATTATATTTTTAAAAAAAAATCTCAAAAGTTGGGGGCAAGTCCGCCCATGTACCCTACTATACTCAAGTTACTGTCCACTTGGAATAATGCAACCACTGTTTAGTGTTCCATTTACGAACCTTAATAACAGCTTTATGGAACAGGACAAATCTGGCTTATAACACACATTATAGAACCAATAGCATTAGATTGAGGAATTGAATCCATTTCAATCCTTCCTAAATCGTTCTTAGGGATCCATGATGAACTTAATTTGAAATATAAACCTAGGGGTTGACTTAGAGGTTTGGACAACTTCATTCTAAATCTTTCAACTACTTCGTTCACATAAGAAGTTTGTTTCAAATTCAAGACAGATTTGAATCTATCCCTATTAATTACCAAATTCAGATATTTGCTCGAATTCCCAAGTTTGATTTCAAGTTCTTTCATAAGGAGTTTCACACTTTTATTCACTTTAACTTACAAGCAACATATCATCTAGGTTGAAAAGGAAAAACCATGAAAATACAGCAGATAAAATTTTATTTTGAAATATATAATGGCAACAAAAGCCTTTGTAGTAGTGCAGATTAGTCGGTGCAGCAGCGGTACATGACATACTTGTCCATAGTACGTCCACATTCGGAACAAACCACCCTCTCCGGGATGTGTCCAGTTTGCCCCGGTAGAATGAGACGGTTGCAGTGGTGTTCGGGGTGGACGCCACTGATCGCCTCGTTCATTACAGGCACAAATTTATCGGGGTAATCCACTTTGTCTTCCCATTGTTTAGAGTTGTCAAGAACTGTGAGCAAAATGTCACCTTTGCCTTTAGTCATGTCATACAGCCCCCTGCTGAAAACAGCCCATCCTTGTTCACTGCTGTCGTAGGTTAGCATTGTCAAGAGTTCCTGCATTATTTTATCAGACTCAACGGTCATGCCGTGTTGAAGTTTTGAGGTCCACATGCTTGTCAGCCTCACCCAGAAGAACCAAACGTAATCATAATAGTCCTTCAACGGAAAAATGTGGCTAAGTTGTTCCCTGTTAATGATTTCATGGCATCTTCTTACTTTGTCCTTTGGATTGCTTTTTCCCACATAAATCATTTCTAAGGGAACATGCA